ATTATTTTAGATGTTTTTTTGTTTGTTTGTTGTTGTGTTTTTGTTTTTTTGTGGTAAGTTCTTTGCACTGAGTGGTGATATCATAAGCCATAAATTGGTGGTACATTAGAAAATTAGTAGGCCCATGAGGGAAAAAAACAAGCGGGGTGGGCTTCAAGAAGGGTTTGTTCTCTGGAAGCTGTAGGGTGTTAAGTTGCTCAAAAATTAAATCTGAGGCTCTCTTTGACTTGAAAAATATTCATTTGAAACTAATATTTTTACTTCAATGTGCTTCTAAAGTTTTTTAAGAAAATAGTAATGACCAAAACAAAAAGAGTCAAAATGTCATAGATAAAAGAGCAAACCTCTTATAAATCTCAAATAAAAACTGCTAATTTTACCTTTACTGAAAACTGTCGAAAACAAATTAACACTCATATCAGTTCTACAACTTGTAAATATGAACTACCGATTAATGCTGGTAAATAAAAACCAAATTCGCAAAATTCAAAGTTTATAAATGTAGATATTTAAAAAGTTGCATTTCATAAACATTTCACATTTTGACAACAGACTAAATGAGTTATAAAAACTAAATTTCTCCCTCCCTTGCGACTTCTACCAGCTAATTACCGTGACATTGCCTTCGAATAAAAATGTTTTTCATTGGCCAAAATTACTGGTAGATTATTACGTGAGTCAAATACGACCTCGAAAAACACGTGCATGACTAGTAAAAATATGTTTTGCTAAAAAAAAGAAAGTGTAATTTATTTACATCCGAGATTAAATCGTTTTCGCTTGTAGAGTTTCATCATATATGTAATTCTTATTTCTATGTTACAGGGGTTAGTGTTCACTGGCTGCCTTCTCCAAGTGTAACACTTTAAAATTAGTGCCAACTTACGCAGATACCATTCGAGTAGATTTCCGCGAAAATTGAACAAAGAAACAATCCGATCAACAATGTTACACAAAAGTATTTAATTTAAATAATTCATAAAGCTCATCAGAACACATTGAATCATACCCGTTGATGTAGCAAACACCAGGTAATTCAGAAACAGAGATAGTATTAGTTTAAAATGTTATTTTAGGGATACCATTAGCAAGAATGTAATGCTTACAGGTTTTACAAAATCCTTCACTCAGGCACATTGTATAATATTTTCTAAATATATTAAAAATGAACAATAATGAATTATCTTGGCTATATATTGGTGTTGTATCCAATATTGTCATAGTGAGGTGGTGTTGTATCCAATATTGTCATAGTGAGGTGGTGTTGTATCCAATATTGTCATAGTGAGGTGGTGTTGTATCCAATATTGTCATAGTGAGGTGGTGTTGTATCCAATATTGT